TCTGAGTGGGGTATTCATGTTAAAGTGCAGCATGGTATCTCAGTGTGCTAGCACTATAAATTGGCATCAGTCCGGACTAGTACAAGCAGCCACACACACACACACACACACGTACATGCACGTCGCTATATAAGAGCAATAATCTTGGATGCGATGTTAAACCTCATATCACCTCACCTCAACATTTCATTGGACAATCATTGTGACGTGTACATGTATATCTATCTACCAGATTCTATGATTCTATGGAGATTATTTGTTGTTTTTCATCACACAGGTTCTTGTTATCTCCTAAAGTGGTGGGTCATTTGATATTTTAAATAAATATTTTATATATTTTCTGCAAAGACCTATAAAAATTGTCATAGTTAATTGACTATTGACGTCATGAAATGAGATGTTTAACAAACGTGATTTTCATTTTAACAATTGACTTACAGTGTTCGAAATTATTCATAAGGTCAAAGTGTCTTTGCCATGGTTGAAATATGAAAAGTAAACGACAGGGGTCCCTAGATCCCGTTAACTTCGAACACTGGCTTAATTCAAATTATAGAGTGTTGAAAAACAGTGTCATACATTTGGTGTAGTTATTTGGGGAGGGTTAGTTTTTGTCGTGTGACAGGTGACACATACCATGATCACAGATCAGTTTCTAACAACATGTTAATGTTATCCCCCTGTCAGCTGAAGCTTATGAGAAAACATTCTGTGACAGCCCTATCATAAAATTCCTAAACATGAATTATTATTTTTTGTTTACATCCTCTTTAGCAAATGACAAACATAATATTTTATATTTTATATTTTTATAAATATCTCATATTTGCAAATGTGTTGAATAAATTGTTTGAGAAATGTTTACATGTTCCTCAAAATACATGAAAATCTGGTTTGGCATACTCCCATGTACCATCAACCAAAACAACTGAAAGGAACACAGTTTTATTTCCGAACTTTGATAACGCAAATAAAAAAAATATAAAAAAGTAGTATTTGTATCTTTTGTTTGCGTGTATTCTGTATTTCACTGAGTTTGTTTGTTGTTTAACGCAGCACTCAACGATATTCCAGCTGTATGACGGCAGTCTGTCAACAAACCGAGTCTGGACCAGACATTCCAGTGACTGACATCATGACCATCGATGATCTACGCAATATGTGTGAAATTAGTCTGGGATGTAATAGAAACTCATTTGGGGATTATTAACTAACAAACCTGATGGGTTTAACACTGAAGGGGCCCGCACAGAATCTACACGACTTTAATGTACTGTACAGGATCAGTCGCACTACTGGACGTGCGATGTACCCCTTGAACGTTCGATATTTTCTCGTGGCGTTGTTAAATTAAAACTTTGAAGCCTAAAATTTCATATTCATGTAACTCCCACATGAAAATATATTGAGCCTAACAAAACTCCCAGTACGTATTACAAGACATTACAATCTTACAATTATGACACGTGCAGGTGTTAGTTTGGGTTTTCTTGATACCAAGGATAATTCGTTAAAGGTAAGATTCTGGTAATCTTTATAAAACGAAACTTGATCAGTCATAACCCATTATACTGTAATGTAAGACAAATTATGCCGGTTAGAATTGGTCTTCAGTAACCCATGCTTGGTTGATGCGTGTCTATTTCCCAATTGCGTAGATAGATGCTCATGATGTCAGTCACTGGTTTGTCTGATCCAAACTGGATGATTTCACAGACCGCCGTCAGATAGCTGGAATATAGCTGAGTGCGGCGTTAGATAACAAACAAGCCTAAACATGGAGATAGCCCTCAAGTGAGTGAGGGAGCGCGTTCGTGAACGTTGTACGTTTGGGCTCCGCCCCCGCCACGATCACTGTCAGGAACGTCTACACATTCACAATGAACATAGCTCCGTAATTCGATCCCTCGTTAATCAGGACGGTGTCACTAGGAAGGGTAACCGGGGTGTCACTGTACCTCGAACAGTGAAGCAGTAGTGACGCGCCACTCAATGTGTGGTGTGGTATAAGGGAGGTAACTCCTGTCACCTTCCTTGTTTCCTGGCATCAGTTGGTACATGTTCCGTTCGAGTGCAGTTACAGATGTGTACAGCTGTTCGTGAAAACGTGCATATCTAGTAGTTGATAGTTACCAGATACCAAGAAAATTAATGTTCACCAAACTTCCCGAAAATGTTGTGGCATAAAGCCACTATTCTGTCGATTATATTTTGCAGTTATCACAACATTTTCATTGGTACCAGTGTAAATAGAGTATTCACACCCGCCCGTCGGAACTTTATATCTCGTAGTTTTATGCCACGGGAACCATTTTTACCTGAGAATGTTTTCAATAAAACTCATTTGCTGGTTAGATTTATGCCTGTCTAGACTAAATACTCAGCGGAACTGATTATCGTTTACATCAACTGCGTTCGTGATGCCAGGGTCCCCACTGCTGATAGCGTGAGAGGTTACTAGAATGGTTCTGGTCGCCAGGCGTGACATGGCTGTGTTATCGTGACGGATGGCGTGGATATTTGTCATGTTTTCAGCGACTATGGGCATGGCTTGCCTGGTCACTCCATTATGATTACATACAGGTCGCCGTGATGCCGATTGAAGATACCTGGCACCCATTACAAACTCATTCGTGACCACTCGTGTCATTCCGGGACAACCGTGGCATAATTCGTTACCACTCGCCTCTTTCCGTAACCACCATTCAGCTTGTCACGGAATGACACGAGTGGTCACGAATGGAAGGTTCTGAAAGACGGCATTGCGCATACACCACTGGTTTGTGAGGGCCAGGTTCGAACCTGTCTTGTCCAGGTGGTAATATTTCGAACGAATCCGCGTGAACCCACTTCACTGAATGAAATGTACATTCACAGTGCTAATGTTTGTTGGCGAAGTGAATGTTTGACAGTCAATGTCACAATGAAGCACCCACTTTGACATGAAATGAAAACATGGCCTAATTGACATGTCATCGTGAATAACATCAAAATGTGTTAACATAATTCATGAATAATTAGGATTATTGAAATTCATGAGTCAAGTATGAACATATATCAGTACTTAAAGATCATTTCTATACTCAACAACAAAAGTTCCTGTGACACCAATATTTTCATACAAGTAAAGTTTGGTTTTCAATATTGTAGTACATGTATGGAATCAAGTCACAAAAACGCAACTGCTACAGAAAAGCATCCATTCCATGCAAAAGTTGACTTTTATGCAAGCCCCATGCATTTCACTACCCAAAAATGGGTATAAAAACGTGCGTTAACGGGATTCCATATGCATTGTTTAGCATCGTGCTGACAACAACCACTCAGAAAACAACAAAATTACGCAATTATTCAACATTACGAAATGCCACGCCTGTCCGAAAATGAGCGTCTGCGAGCCATTGGTATGCTTGAAGCAGGATCGAGTCAACGTGATGTTGCAAGACAATTTAACGTCCACAGAAACACCATCTGGTGTTTATGGCAACGTTGGCAACAGACGAATGCAGTCAGAGACCATCCTCGGAGTGGCAGGCCACGCGTAACCAAAACTCGACAAAACAACTGGATTCGAACAACACACCTACGAAATCGATTCCAGCCAGCAACAGTGACTGCAAGAAGCATCCCTGGCCTTCGACGAATATCTTCACAAACCGTACGTCGTCGCCTCAGATGTGCAGGGATTGTCGCCAGAAGACCCACCAGACGTCCAATTAGGCTGGACGGCCATGCAGTGGGGACAAGTTCTATTCATTGACGAGTCTCGTTTTCACCTCAGCCACTGCGATGGACGGATTCGAGAGTACCGACGTCGAGGTGAACGTTACGTCAATCATTGTGTCATGGAAGAAGATCGGTTCGGGGGCGGTAGCGTTATGATATGTGGTGGGGTTACAGCAAGACAGAGGACCCGTTTGATAGTGGTAGAGGGAAGTCTCAATGGACAGCGCTACCGCGACGAGATCATCGGCCCTGTTGTTCTACCGTTCCCCTCCATATCAGTGTTTGCACAAAGCAGCATACAGTTAACACTTGTTAGTCTGGAACCTGTTGTTTTGGTTCAGAGCATAAGTTCATGAAAGTACATCACTCAACATGCTCAATGACGAAATTGGTTTAACTGGACGATGGATTTGTGTTCACTAATCAGTTTGAGTCCATGTAACCATTTCACTATATACCATTTGTTATGTTGTTACAATCCAAATATACTAGCAGCACTTTGGAGCCAAGTATTTACTTCATTATCTTATACTCATTAAATCAATGTCATGTGTTACCATTGCACAGATCTTCATTTCATTGGCACGACCGCCTCGTGGTCTAGTGGTAGAGTGTCCACCCTGAGAGCGGAACGTCCGGGGTTCGATCCCCGGCCGCGTCATACCAAAAGATGTTCAAAGATGGTACTTGTTTTCACTCTGTCTGGCACTCGGTATTAAGGGGCTAAAACAAGGACTGGTCGGCTTGGAGTCAGTATACTGTGTCTGAATGGGGGATTCATGTTAAACTGCAGCATGGTATCTCAGTGGGCTAGCACTATAAATTGGCATCAGTCTGGACTAGTACAAGCAGCCACACAAACACACACACACGTTGCTATATAAGTGCAATAAACATTAAACCCTATATCACCTCATCTCAACATTCATTGGACCATCACTGTGACATCTACATGTATATCTACCAGCTGGTGATTATTTGTTGTTTTTCATCACACAGGATCTTGTTATCTCCTAAAGTGGTGTGTCATTTGATGTTTTACAACTATTTTATATATTTTCTGCAAAGACCTATGAAAATTGCCATAGTCAATTGAAATGAGATGTTTTAACAACATGTGATATTCATTTTAACAAATGACTTACAGAGTTCGAAATTATTCATTGACTTCATGAAATGAGATTTATTACAGACATGTGATTTTCAGTTTAACAAATGGCTTACAGAGTTCGAAATTATTCATAAGGTCACAGTGTCCTTGCCATGGTGGAAATATGAAAAGTAAACGACAAGTAAAGGATAGGGGTCCCTAGATCCCGTTAACTTCGAACACTGCTTTAATTCAATTTATAGAGTGTTGAAAAACAATGTGTAGTTAATTGGGGAGGGTTAGTTTCTGTCATGTGACAGGTGACACGTACCATGATCCCAAATCAGTTTGGACGTCTGGGGTTACAGCAAGACAGAGGACCCGTTTGATAGTGGTAGAGGGAAGTCTCAATGGACAGCGCTACCGCGACGAGATCATCGGCCCTGTTGTTCTACCGTTTTTGAGTCGTCATAGCCCAGACACTACCTTTTAACATGACAACGCCCGGCCTCATATTGCTCGACTTGTTCAGGATTCTCTTCAACAAAACAAAGTGAATGTCATCCCCTGGCCGGCTCGCTCCCCTGATCTCTCACCAATCGAGCACATGTGGGATGAGATGGATCGGCGCCTTCGACGTCAACCACGTGTTCCACAGACTCCAGGAACTTCGAAACATGCTCCAGCAGATATGGACAGATATCCCACAGGACTTTGTGCGACGCCTGGTCCATTCCATGAGACGCAACCAGAGGTGGACACACACGCTACTGATTTGTAAATTGACATTTTGGCATGTTCATGTTTTTTTTTTATGAAATCACGCATTTTCTGAAGTCAGTATGGCAAATTAAACCATTTGAACACGCACAGGAGTCTTTTATCTATTGCAAACCGAAATTGTTACAGATTTGGTAAAAAACATAACTTTGCATTAAATCTTATTCAATGTCACAGGAACTTTTGTTGTTCAGTATAGATTGAGTAATACCGTCGACTGAGTATGGAGTACAGGTTAACCATCGCTACGTTACCAACAGACGGAGTGGTCAGAATCTGGTATATTCTGGTATAAAAAAGTTCAGGGTTAAGAGCAGGAGAACTAACACAATACTGGATGCCCAGCATCCACCATCACCACTGACTGCATCAACACCACCGACAACATATACACCACCGACAGCACCACTGACAGCATCATCACCACCGACAGCATCAACACCACCGACAGCATCAACACCACTGACAGCATCAACACCACCGACAGCATCAACACCACCGACAGCATCAACACCACTGACAGCATCAACACCACCGACAGCATCAACACCACCGACAGCATCAACACCACCGACGACATCAACACCACCGACGACAGCATCAACACCACCGACAGCATCAACACCACTGACAGCATCAACACCACTGACAGCATCAACACCACCGACAGCATCAACACCACCGACAACATCTACACCACCGACAGCATCAACACCACCAATAGCATCAACACCACCGACAACATCTACACCACCGACAGCATCAACACCACCGACAACATCTACACCACCGGCAGCATCAATACCACCGACAGCATCAACACCACCGACAGCATCAACACCACCGACAGCATCATCACCACCGACAGCATCAACACCACCGACAGCATCAACACCACCGACAGCATCAACACCATCGACAGCATCAACACCACCGACAACATCTACACCACCGGCAGCATCAATACCACCGACAGCATCATCACCACCGACAGCATCAACACCACCGACAGCATCAACACCACCGACAGCATCAACACCACCGGCACCATCAACACCACCGACAACATCAACACCACTGACAGCATCAACACCACCGACAACATCTACACCACCGGCAGCATCAATACCACCGACAGCATCAACAAAACAGACAGCATCAACACCACCGACAGCATCGACATCACTGACAGCATCAACACCACCGACATCGACATCACTGACGACATCAACACCACCGACGACAGCATCAACACCACCGACAGTATCAACTCAACCGACAGCAACAACACCGCCGACAACTTTGTCACCACCGACAGCATCAACACCACCGACAGCATCATCACCACCGACAGCATCGACATCACTGACAGCATCAACACCACCGACAGCATCAACACCACCGACAGCATCGACATCACTGACAGCATCATCACCACCGATAACATCGACATCAGTGACAACATCAACACCACCGACGACAGCATCAACACCACCGACAGTATCAACTCAACCGACAGCAACAACACCGCCGACAACTTTGTCACCACCGACAGCATCAACACAACCGACAGCAACAACACCGCTGACAACTTTGTCACCACCGACAGCATCAACACCACCGACAGCATCATCACCACCGACAGCATCATCACCACCGACAACGTCATCACCAGCTGTACAGGGACCCATAACCACTGTACTGAGGAGCATCAGATAAATGTTGACGAGTTTTTAGTCCTCATGAAGATGAAAGTCCGAGAAGAGTCCAGATCAGCCTCTGCTATTTACCAGGAGGAGATGCCAGGTGTGTCATACAAACAAAGCAGGCCTTATTAAATAATATTAAATGAGGTTATATGAAATAAACGTTATAGTAAAAAAAAATACTTTAGAAAAACGCGAAATTGGTTTATTCATGTGGAAATTAGTGTGTAATGCTGTTTTTTTATTTGTTTACCTTTACGATTCCCGACTTCCCTATCGTCATCGCCATGTATACAGTCCCCACTCGAGTATTTTCCGGCCCTGGGTCAGGAATCTGCCACCATTTCCTCAACGTCGTCACGCCACAAAAGGCTAACGTTTCATCTGAGTTTTCAAACTAAAAGCCCGGGGGCGGATTCGACCCTACCGTAAATGCTCGCATATAATCGCCAACATCTTCATCAACACCGAAGTTAGGAAGGATGTCGTAGACTTTGAGATGGGTGTCGTTTCGAGATAAGAGTCTAATCGTGATAACCGTCATTTCAAAATATTACATCGTTTCGAGATGAGCAGTGAAAGGGGCGTTCATTCGAGAAAACCGACACGGATAACCGTTATATCGAAATATGTCGCCTCAGACGACTGGGCCCCCCATGCTCCGTGTTGATTGGACGAAGCGTCATCTTATAAAGGTGACAAACTTTAATCTTCATCAAAATTGGTGCATTAAATTGTAGGAAAAAGTGTATGTCAACATCGTTCTAGAAAACTTGGTATACATTCCTGAGAAAAAGAAGAAAACTTAAATTTTGCGACAATCATTGTCCACGAGACTGAAGATAAATTCAGATCAAGGGACGCAACTCTGCACAGCGAATTGCGTCGTCGTCTTCCCATTATGCCTACTGTTTCAATACCTATACTTGATGGTTCAGTGACTGCTAATTACTAGTTATCACCCCTGTTTCGAGGTTATGTTGGGTACGGAGTGTAAACAGTCAAAATCGGAAAAAGACAACAACGATTCCTTGTAGTATTCCCTCGTTTCAACTTTAAATTCAAGTTACAAGTGCTGTTCAAGGTTCAATTTATTACTCGATAAACGCACCAACGGTGGTACATGGGGATACATCTACACATTCGATAAATAATACATGCAGGATGACATGCCTGGAAATTATGTTTCAGTGTTTTAAACAGTACAGTAACGTTTTAAGAAGATTTGGTTATTTTCTTTCGCTTTCTGGGATGAGAACATTCTTATAAATGTGTACGTATTTGGGTATTCATAGATTGATTTTGGAATTACAAACTTTGATGCTGCAGAGTTTTGTGTGAGAAGGGATCCTTTTCAAAAGATAAAGTTTCTTTACATTCATTGTAGTACAAATGCCTTAACTTTCCACAAAATAGTTTCGCCAGTTTTGAAGATATTCATCTTTATGTATTTCTACGTTTGAAGCAAGCCATTGTGTAGAATATATAGACGGGCTGTCAAACAATTCAGTAAGTCCACAATAATTAAGTTATTTTTTAACCAAAAACATCCTTGTGAGTTAATCAGCAATATGGATTCCATTAAGAGTGAAAAATTGGATTAAAATGTTTGTTCATTTGGGGATTGCCTTTTTTGTCGCTGTTCTATCCTAAAATATGATAATCTATTTATGCAGTGGTTCATTTTTCCAAATTCACCATAGACCATGACATGTGGTGTTGATTAAGACCAAATTTCAAATATACTCTATATAAAGTTCGTATTTTCAAATCCCCAAGTTTCCATAAATAAATCGAAAGGCTGGTTAATATTTCGTGCTACCGTAAATACTATAAAGAATACAAGAACAAATAACACGTCGAAAATAACATCTCTCATCAGACATTGTACCATGTACACATGGGCAGATGACGACTGGAGTAGTCCATTATTCTATAGGTAGGCTCCTTTCACCCTGTTCTTGTTTCAGTAGCCATAAAGGGAATGGTCATAATGGGAGTGAACCATTGCGGCGCCTTTGACGACATATAGCATACGCTTAAAACAAACATTATACGCTCAGAAACAGACATCCCACACTCAAAACTGACATCCCACACTCAAAACAGACACCATACATTCAAAACAGACGCTTAAAACAGACATCATACGCTCAAAACAGACATCATACGCTCAAAACTGACATCCCACACTCAAAACAGATATCTCACACTCAAAACAGACACCATACATTCAAAACAGACGCTTAAAACAGACATCATACACTCAAAACTGACATCCAACACTCAAACAAACATCATACACTCAAACATCATACACTCAAACATCATACACTCAAAACAGACATCATACGCTCAAACATATATCATACTTTCCAAACAGATACCATACACTCAAAACAGACACCATACATTCAAAACAGACACCATACGCTCGAAACAGATATCATACACTCAAAACAGAATGTGACTGAGCAGTGGGTGGAGAGAGATTCATGTGGAATCATTTCGACACTGTAGGTCCAAGGACAACAAACCATGTAGAAGGATGGCATTCGAAGTTGTCCAAACTTGCTGCTTGTCACCCCAACATATTTTAGTTTGTGAACCTGATCAAGTCCGAACAGAACTTTGCAGAGTTGACGGTGATGCAGCTGAATGCAGGTGGAAGTGTTAGACCCAAGAAGAAGGTGTACCGCCAGCTAGAGGAAAGGTTAGAGCAGCAAAAGAGACTACTTGTGACAGGTGTCACCACCCCCCTCATCTATGGAGACAATGTCTCACATCTTGTCGGACTATAAATTGGATGTTATGTTTCATATATTGTTTGACTTTGGAAGCTGTGTGAAATAAAATATGAATGTAAAATGTTGCAAATATCTGTGTGAAATAAAAGATAATTGTAAAACCTTTTTTGGTTAATATAACATATTGACTGTTGAATGTGTTGCAAATAATACTTGAACCTGACATTCTTAGGCTAGATATAGTTCATGGTTGTACACCCCGGATAGAATTACACGGGGAATAAATTGGACCTGCACGCTCAGTCAGGTGTAACCACTAATACCTTCTGTAAACATCAAGCTGCTGGCAAAGTGAGGGTAAACCATCGTACACTCAAACATAAAACATACAAACCGCCATCATACACCCAAACATATTTCATACACACAAACATTCATCCATCCTGTACCCAATTATAATCTTAGGCTAAAACATACACCTATATAGTGAATCATACATTCAAAAAGTAATCATGCAGTAAAACAAACACCATGCATGCAGTAAAAAAACATCATACACCCGAACGTGACCCACTCACAACCGTGTCAAGAACTCAAGCCACGTATTCCTCAATATATCTCCTGTTGCCATCATTTTGTGTATTCGGGAGGGGACAGACAAGAAAATGTTTTTAACATCCGCAAATCATGCACTAAAAAACCTTCAGGCTAAATGCATTTCCCGTTGTTGTGTGTCTAGCCCGAGAATCAATGCTCCCTTTGCAGTGTTATGTACGACGGACGTGTGGTGGTTAACATTTGTCTTTGTGTGGACAATATAATAAGTTATGTGGCATACATTTTCATTATGACTAATGTATCTGTTACATCACTTTGTCTGTTACTATGGCTACTTGGTAATTAGAAACCCATTTTATGTTTTCAGGACTCGTAACCCTGTTGCTAATGTAATCCAATCCGGCGACCCCACTAACTGAAACTGTCTGCGACACAGCCCAGTGCTTTCCCATGCTGCGGCGAGGCGTGGACCGATTTACCGTCAACTCTTATTGCCATCCCAATGTTCATTACGCGACAGAAAATAGTCCGCTAATCGACGCAGGGTCATTGAACCGATCAACGCCTCGCGGTGTATAGTGTGGCTGTAAGCTAACACATTTGATAAAAGGATTACGTCTTCATAGCCTGGTTACCATCGAGGAAGCAGCCTGTCACATATTATGTAATGCCACTTTGACATTTCACGTTGACCGGTGTTATCTTGGGATATGGGCGATTTACCTCGCCTCCAGCAAATGATCAGTTTACGGATATGGCGATTTTGATCACCATAAAGATAGATAATTACGACGGCCGGATGTATGGAGGTGCGGCAACTGGATGGAGTGGGGGGGGGGGGGGGGGGGGGGGGGGGTACCACCTCAGTAAGGTCCGCGTTTGAGGGGATGAGATCTACACACGAACATACGAAGAATCGGGAATTGGAATGAACGGCGAAGTTGAGCTCCTACAGTCGCAACACAAAACCAGAGACCAGATACGGTATAGTCTCTGACAATCCAGATATCATGCATATAACGGTCTGTGGTAAGGCGACAATTAAGTCGTAATGTGACACAGCCATGTCCATACACTTCACACAATGAGGGGATAATCGGTTTAGCCACAAATCCAATCATCGATTCTCCGGGGTATTATACCTCCGTTCTGTTGTGGTAAATACCCCGCACCCTTTCACGACATATACCTGAAATAGACGTTCAATCAAATTGCAGTCACGTGAGACGTTCTGGGCCGTGTTAGTGATGGGAAAACACACACACAGACACACACACACACACACAGAGACACACACACACACAGACACACACACACAGACACAGACACACACACACAGACAGACACACACACACACACACGTGCATGCACGTCGCGAAAAAGTGCAATATTCTTGGACGCGACGTTAAACCCAATTCCACCTCACCTTATAAACAGAATGAGTCTTTAAAATGTAAAAATAACATATAATCAGGGCATATTCCTTCATATTAACAATTAAACAAACGTCAATGACTAGAATGGAAATACAGAAAAATATTCGGAACACATCAGTGACAAAAAACAATTTTTCTGCATTTATTTTCGAAACGGGAACTTGTCCAGTCTAACATTCTTTATGCAAAACATCAAATTGGTAGTCTGTAAAACACACGTGCATACATAACATTCATGGCACTTGGGACTTCTCCCAGGAGCTCATCCAAAGCCTGTCTAACAGTCCCTCAATCATATTATTTCCCTTCAGCCTAGCCCTTTCTGTAATTCAAAATACAAATAAAGCAAGTCTAGAGTTCACACAGGTACTGGATCTCCCATCTCACTGGGGGACCATTTCAATTTAAATGTAGCTGCTATCAAAATTAACTATATACACACATCTTTACATGGCCTGCAACTTCTCTAAATCCCACGAAGCAACATGCAAATCTCACTGGAATCACAGATCTATCAAGACCCAAGGCTCGTTGCCTTACACTCGTGGAAACTCTAAAACAAACCTATTTTGGCAAGTCTAGATTCCTCCAGCTTAATCTTCTGAAAATGAGGAAATTATCTGGGCTCCTATAAATATGTTACATACCAAAAGACAATTTACACCCAGAAATCTTTAAAAAATACTGTTAGTGTAGCCCGTTTCATAAAGCGACGACTGTGGTCATTGGGATGCTGATTGGTTGTTGTCATGGCGCCCAGTTTGTCCAACTAAGTGTATGAAGCCGAAATGACGTTTTTTGAGAACGTAACTAAGGCCTTAGGTCACATACAGACCTTGAAACAAATATATGTAATAAAGCCCATGCAAGTCTATCAATTTTTTTCTGCCGAATCAGGCCCGTCTTCAGAGACGAAAATGAAGAGAGCCTCTGTGCTCCTTTTTTCATAACTATAATTTAGCAACTGTTTTTTATCTATAGAAAATCGTCATTTCCGGAACTAGATTTTAGTCTTACGCCATCAGAAGCCACTTGTCATGACGGTGACGTCGTTGCCGGTTGTTGTGTGACGGTGACGTCGTTGCCGGCTGTTGTAGTTTATGGCTCTGTGGAACATTACATCATTTCCGTGGGGAAACTAATGTGAGAGCTCATATACCGATTCCTACACGAATATAGTTATTGTATATTCTCTTCCACCAGATGTAGACCCGTGGAAATTCCGGGTTAGAAATTGTTCCCTAGCAACCTATGCATGTGACATGAGGAGACTGAGAGGATCGGCGGTCTGTGTCTCTGTTGTCGTATCCCTACTGCATAGGACTATGCTCATACTATCAATCACTGGTACGTCTGACCCAGACTGCATTGTTTATTTTATTCATATAGCTGGAATACTGAGTGTGGTGTTAAACAACAAACAACAAACAAAGAATTGCATTGATTCAATTCAATTCAATTCGTTATCTTCAAAACTCGATGTTCTTAAAAAGGATTGTACAATCTAATCGCGCACACATTCACACTTTTTGTCCAGGCTCTGAGGCGCTCAATTAGCTTGCAGAGTTGCGTCCCTTATGCGTGGCGGGATCCTGTGACAGTGGGTACGCCCTGATTATGATCCTTGGTTTTCCAGCACCACACTGATGCTCGTATGTTCACCGACGTCGTAAACGTAGACAATCTGCATCACTTTGGACTTCACATTAGGCTTAACAAACTAACGTACTGTCCATAACTGCGTTCAGCCAACTTGTTCACTCACCCGCTCACTCTCACACCTTTTGTAAACACTCTATACTGAAGATCATACCTGCAATACAGTCCCATATCGAAGACTTGTTTGTTTGTGTTTGTTGTTTACCGCCGCATATTCCAGCTATATGATCAATGATTCTATAAATAATCGAGTCTGGACCAGACAACCCAGTGATTAACATCATGAGCATCGATCCACGCAAAATGGGATACGATGACATGCATTAACCAATTTAGTGCGTGTGACCACCCTATCTCGTTAGTCGCCTCTTACGACAAGCACAGCCGCCTTTTACGGCAAGCATGGGTTGCTGAAAACCTATTCTACCCCGGAAGCTGCATTAAGACAAACAATTGGCATTAAGACAAATCCATTTCATTAAGAAAAAAAAAATCTTTTCTACTCCGGATGACGGTCCCCCCCCCCCTTATCTGAGAGCTGAGAGTGACGTGGATGGCGTGTGTGTAGCGATAACACCGGAAGTATGACGATAAGGGGGACATGTTCACCATGACAACCATACTTTATCCATTGTTTTCCTTAGCTGTACTCAAATAAGAATTAAGATTTTTATATAAGTCTAGTAATGAGTGACATGTTAAAAATAAGATCACATATATAATCCGTCAGTAGCGAAAATATGCTGCTCGCAGTTTGCTAAGAATCACCTCTTTAAAAGGTAATACAAATGTCAAATGTATGTCAAATTGTGTGCATCTGTTGAAATAGCCAAAGACAGTATTGCGTGACGACATGTTTAATAAACAAAAGTCTGTTGCCATGTGCCACACAACCAACATCGCCAGTTAGGTCACCCGTCAAAATGAGAGTATCTGACCAAAAGTGAAAAGTAAAAACAAATAACGAAAACAAATTCATTGTCCCCAAAAACAACTCCCAGTAGCGTATGTGATCCACGCGATGTGATCCAGCCTGGTGCCGTCTTCCCATGCTTTCAATAAGTGTCTGAATGCTTGCCAAACTACAATTCGACCACTCTTCAGTAAGAACATTGCCGAGTTCCCGGAAGGATTGGGCGTCATGAGAGCGCGATCTACAGCTTGTGCCACATGTGTTCCTTGGAATATTGAAATCTTTCTCCTTGTCAGCGCCCCATTCGGTCACGACGATCTGTGAAGTCTAGAGATTATCTCCATTCATCGGCACTGTCGGCCGGCCACCTGCATGTCGCTGGGCAACTGAACGAAACGTCTGGTATTGATTCCAAGCCCTGCTGATCACAGATCATAATTGCATTCAGTTGTTGCAATACTCAGTTGCAAACACAGGTTTTAACGCACATATTGTACATCGAGTCAAGATGCACCCCTCTGTCAATTCATTTGAGGCCCTATAGGGGTTACCCAATCGCTGTGTACCGGAACATTTCAATCTTTATTTGTTGGATGCTTTTTTGAGTGCGGCGTTAAACAACAAACAAACAAACATGGTGCGTTAAGGTGCAATGCCACGATATAGTACATGACTACGTGTACACCTCAACGATAGCTACATTAAAAAAATTAGTTCCCTTATTTTTGTCGGTAGTATATACATACGGAATAATTTCAATTAACTTTATTGGGGGCAGGAGTTATTTTTTTATTCTACAACCATAGACTTACCATATGGCATTTTTATTACCTGAAAAAAATCTATGACCTTTTAATAAAGAATATACACATTAGGTATTTCTTTTAAATATTAATGGCTATATTTTAGCTGCAGGTATAAAGTTAATATGTGTTTATATTTCATCTACGTCTATGACGCAAAATGCCAGAATAAACCACTGGAAATCCTTCTGTCTGTCTGCACAGCATCCATGAAATGATGGAAATGCATGAATCATGTGCTTGAAGATCTGAAGGCAATATTTCGAGGTCCCGTGATCCAATCGAGGGAATTGTGCAATACCCAGTTGCGACTTGGCCTCAGCCGTTATGCTGATTACCCCCTGGGGTCCCTGGAGGTAACCGTCCGTGGAAAATATTGTTGAAATGGGGCACGTTCGACCGTGGATTGTATTGATGAAATTGCGAATTTATATATATGAGAGGGGGGGGGGGGGGGGGGGGGGGGGGGGGGCAGGGAGGGAATATACTCACACGGTCGACCGTGGATTGTAATGATGAAATTGCAAAATTATATGAGAGAGAGAGAGAGAGAGAGAGAGAGAGAGAGAGAGAGAGAGAGAGAGAGAGAGAGAGCATACTCACAGTGTATGATAGACTAACATGTAGTGCTGGTAATAAAATAGAATTAAAGTCTCTTTAATAAAAGTATATGTATCTACAATTCTACATCATAACAAACAAAATTCAAAGGGTACCCAAAACTATAGTTAACTTGCCCAATCATCCTAGACTTGAGTTGCGTTTGTTTTTTAACTGTTAATAGATCGCGTGAGAGCTGCACGCACGCGTGTGGACATATTAAGTGCCTATGTTTTGTTCTCTGATCAGGTGGAGCTGTAATGTCAGTGAATCATCCCTGCGTCAGGTGGTGATTCACGACAGGCAATGAACTGAACGAGCTTTGCAACGGCGTTAAGCCGCTATCTCTGTGCAATAATCACGCAGGACGTACATGTCACAAAAACATTTAGTCTCCCAAGTTGATATATTTCAAGATTTAGGGTTTAACTTGTCTTTTAGATTGACTCAATAAATCTACCGGTATTCTGAATCTGTACCAGTAGGCATAGTCCTGCACCATGACCGTGGAATATATTTATTTTATGAAAAAAACATAATCTAGAAATGCATACAAAAGCAAGTCTAGCCCCTCCCCTCTGTTGTTGGCAGATTATCTGAGAAAGTATTTTTTATTATTTTGGACCCCTCCCTTTTACAAATGCTGGATCGGCCCTTGTGCACAGTCGCGTGAGAGTTGCGCTGTAATCTACAACAGTATCAGACGTGAAGCTACCAGCCGGGAGTATAGGGGTGTGTGCAGTCAAGATTTATCATTTATCACACCTATGACTGGGGGAATGGCAAAATGTTACATAAATGGGCGGGTGTAAAATATGATATAGCCCTAAATCCAACGCCACCCACCCACCCTATGGTAATGAACATGGGTAAAACTCGAGCTCATTTTTTAAGAAGCGGCGTAAAACCATACTCACTCGGTGACGTGAAATGAACAACTGGACCATGTCTGATTTAACCACATGAAGTACCAACTATTATCATTATAGATTACCTTCAACCTTTTCATTGTACACATCGCCTTTTTCGCAGTTAGGTAATTGAATAGCTAAGTATAATTACCAACAAACACCTGGAAATCGCGGTTGGTAACACAGACATTAAGACGAGTCGGTCCTCCTGACACTATCGATAGAATTATTCATCCAATCAGACAAAACCAATTAACGTCCGCGTATTGTTTCGTTATTTTTTCATGAGAAGTGTATCGGGTATTCTCTTTGTCTCGTGGTTTAAGATGAATCCGTGATTAAATCTCTTTGCCAGCCCGTTTATCACGTTTCCGTTCAGCCGTTTCTGCTTCTTAAAAATGTTCACTATATCCTTTCATTTATTCCGTAACGGTCGTTAAGGTAACGGTGAGTAATGCTTGAATTTAAATCCCACGTTGTGAAGCTGACCAGACAGATTTGACCAATGAGATTAATGTATCACTCCGCGGTGAGTCAGAGGGGTATAAAAGCCCATATCGCCCATGTGGATGACACAGTCCGCCTGCTCACTTCAGACCATCGACGTCAAAGTGTGAGACAAGTTCGACTAGCTTTTTCTTCCCCAAACAGTATTCTCGCACCAAGGAATCTTTTACAAAATGGTGAGTAGTTTGCTTAATCAGATTCAATTCACAAATACTTGATAAAATTCTTGCATTTATGTACTTTCTCAGAAAATGGCGGAACCGGCACTCCCATGTGCGAGCTGGACGGATGTGTCACAGACATTTCAAAATTACTCATCGCCCAATTTCACGTATTTCATAATATGGACGTATCATGAGTATTAAAAGAACAATGTAACTTTCCCGTGAACATACTAAGAGCGACCGCGATAGAGTCTGGCAACAGATCGGAGCTCGCTTCCAATTAATTGGCGCCAGTCTGGGTTTTCGGTAATTAACATAAATTATGGAAACGGAATTCGCTCTCAGAGAACCGTTTTTAACAACGATATTTTAGCGGTTAATATTTTAAAAGTTGATTTTTGTGTGGTTTCGAGGGATGCATTTCGCATTGAACTGTTGAATTTCGAGACTTACAATTTCCTGCCGTCTGAAGTGTAGCATGATTCATCATAGGGTCAAAGGTCAAACGTCAAACGTCAAGGCGATCGCTTGAAAGCGTTTTTTCCTGTTTTGTGGCAGGTCGTTATGCTATGTATGCCATAGCCTGACCATAATCGCCTGCTATGCAATGGGATATGTAACAATGTAGCAAAAAGACAAAGCTAAGTGTAGAAAGGTACTCTGCAGTAGACCGATCAAAGACCCATTGTAAGTATTCTACCATCTTTGCAACACACACTAACAACTACCTGCACAACGATACATGCCCCGCCCACCTACCCCGCCATACCCTACACACCCTACACACGTCCTCAAAATACGGTTGATACCATTTTAAAAAAAACAAAAAAACTTAGGTTACTATATTTTTACAGTAAACCAAATTCTTTTTTTCTTATATAAATTGCTTATTTTATTCTAACACTGAGAGGGGGCACGGGTGGCCCAGTCGCCTAAGGCGCCGCGATTCGCTGTGCAGAGTTGCGTCCCTTGGGTACGCCAGAAACCTATGATTGTGGGTTCGAATCCCGGTTCACCCCGATTATGTTTCTAGGTTTGTCAGCACCATACCCGTGCTCGTGGGTTTCACCGAAGTGGTAAACGTCTGAGACCTGCATCACTTCAGGCTTTCCTCCCACATTAAGCTGACACGCCGTGATATAACTGGAATACTGTTAAAAGCGGCGTTAAACCCAACTCACTCACTCACTAACACTGAGAATGATGAAATGAAAAATATTTGCACAGGATAACATTTTTTTACAGGTTTTAACAAATGTTTGAACACATTTTATTGAAATTCTAAGGGGAAAATGTTAAAGTAACAGACAACTAAAGTTGTTTTAATAATTGCTTGAGATTTATTTACTTTTGTACAGCTTTAGGCAGCAATTAGGAAAGACAAATTATTACATGTTTATATAGATCTAAATTCAAATTCTGAAGTTGATACCAAGTTATGTGTATTTTCATCTACATATTGTAAGTGATAGCTGTGATGTTCATGAATTACTAATAATATCCATACCTCATGTATATTTTGATTATATACATATCACATATTAAAGCTATGTAATAAATATTTATTTGTTTGCAGAGGGAGTGCATTTCAGTCCATGTCGGCCAGGCCGGAGTCCAGATCGGCAATGCATGCTGGGAGTTGTACTGTCTGGAGCACGGCATCCAGCCTGACGGTCAGATGCCCTCAGACAAGACCATTGGGGGTGGGGACGACTCCTTCAACACTTTCTTCAGCGAGACCGGGGCAGGGAAACACGTCCCCAGGGCCGTCTTTGTCGACCTCGAACCAACTGTAGTTGGTGAGTTGAATCTGTTTCTCTACGCAGTTAATTTGGAAAATGTTATCTTGGGGTTTGGATTGTAAGGTGCGATTGCTCAATTCAAAGGCTGAACTTTTCCATGAGAAATAAGGCATTTTAAAAAAATAATATTTCTTATATTATAATATATATATATATATATATATATATATATATATATATATATTCCATTTATATTATTACAAGTATATGATGGGGTAGCTGAATGGTTAAAGTCGTCACACATCACATTGAAGTCCTGTGTTCGATTCCCTGCATGGATATTGTTGGAATGTTGCTAAAAGCTGTGCAAAACATTACTCAAAGAAATTACACTGGAGTAGCGATTCATTTAATTCCTTTTATCTTCTCTCCACTTGGTGGGGAATATTTACTTGAAAAATGGATGTCCCAGAGAACGGTTGAATATTGAACTATAACAATGTTGATTCAAAAGAAAACATTTTTCCTCATTCTCAGTGTTTGCATTTGAAGATGCTCAAATTGCCACAACAGAAAAGTTTTAATTTCGTTTGGCTATGCTTTGAAACAAACTTGACCTCAAATCAATGTGCCAACAGTCCACTGCTCCAAGTGGGGCAAGATCCTTCTCTTCAGTGATGGCGACCACAGATGGTAGACTCCATTGGTCATATGACTTAAGTCTGCAGCTCATTTCAGACTTTTATGTTTTTGTAAAATAAAATAAAATATTTTGGGATAAAACAACTAGTCCATCTAGATTGTTATTTATCTGTTTTCTCCTGGACTCCCTTTGACATAAGGTTTGTGACAAGGACCTTGACTTAATATTTATTAACATTGCTTAGTAACTGCTCTTATTATAAATAATCTTAATAGTAATCCAAATACTGTTATGATTGACTATTTGCTAATCCATACTGCTTTTTGTTTTAGACGAGGTTCGTACCGGCACCTATCGCCAGTTGTTCCACCCGGAGCAGCTGATTACAGGAAAGGAAGATGCCGCAAACAACTACGCCCGCGGTCACTACACCATCGGCAAGGAGATCGTCGACCTCGTCCTTGACCGCATCAGGAAGTTGGCTGACCAGTGCACTGGACTCCAGGGCTTCCTCATCTTCCACAGCTTCGGTGGCGGCACTGGCTCCGGCTTCACCTCTCTGTTGATGGAGAGACTGTCCGTCGACTACGGCAAGAAGTCCAAGCTGGAGTTTGCCGTCTACCCTGCTCCTCAAGTTGCTACCGCTGTCGTTGAGCCCTACAACTCCATCCTGACCACCCACACCACCCTTGAGCACTCCGACTGTGCCTTCATGGTCGACAACGAGGCCATCTACGACATCTGCAGACGTAACCTTGATATTGAACGTCCCACCTACACCAACCTCAACCGTCTGATTGGTCAGATCGTCAGCTCCATCACTGCCTCCCTCCGTTTTGACGGAGCCCTGAACGTGGATCTGACAGAGTTCCAGACCAACTTGGTGCCCTACCCACGTATCCACTTCCCTCTTGCTACCTATGCACCAGTCATCTCTGCAGAGAAGGCCTACCATGAGCAACTGTCTGTTGCCGAGGTGACCAATGCATGCTTTGAGCCCGCCAACCAACTGGTCAAGTGTGACCCCCGTCACGGCAAGTACATGGCCTGCTGCATGTTGTACCGCGGGGACGTCGTCCCCAAGGACGTCAACGCTGCCATCGCCACCATCAAGACCAAGAGGACCATCCAGTTTGTCGACTGGTGTCCCACTGGGTTCAAGGTCGGCATCAATTACCAACCACCCACTGTTGTCCCTGGCGGTGACTTGGCCAAGGTCCAGAGAGCTGTCTGCATGTTGAGCAACACCACTGCCATCGCCGAGGCCTGGGCTCGTCTTGACCACAAGTTCGATCTGATGTACGCCAAGCGTGCCTTCGTCCACTGGTACGTGGGTGAGGGTATGGAGGAGGGAGAGTTCTCAGAGGCCCGTGAGGACTTGGCTGCCCTGGAGAAGGACTACGAGGAGGTTGGAGTCGACTCTGTTGAGGCCGAAGGAGAAGAGGAAGGGGAGGAATACTAAGTCAGTCTTAATCGACACACCTACAGCCCTGACAACCAAATGTGCAATCAAAACATTATGACAATTTAAAATGCATTCATGACCAAACAACATTAAAGCATTTTGAGAAGATCACATTTGTTGTGTGGTTTATAACATGGGTTTTCTGAGTGAGTGAAGGCCTTCTCATGGGTCTGTCAGTGGGGTAATTATTGAACCTGGACAAGGTAAACCATTTGTAGATTGTTATGATCTGTGCTGTTGGCCATAGCTCCACTCAATCCTCATTTAACCCTTAGGACAGTGGGCGTTGAGGTAGCCTTAGAAATTTGTAATTTTAATGACTAGTGTAGGCCTTATGTCACCAGACCTGAGTTTGTAGACGGCCTTGCTTGAACAAGACCATAATGTTTACTATGTTTACATTTTTGTCAGCTATTTCCAGTTTCAGTTTGAAGCAAAAAGCTTTGAGGACTGGTTCAGAATTGGAGCCCACCAATATTGCTACAGTCAATGAGGACTACATCACTGTGCTGAGGACAAGTAAAATTCAATCTAGTAGTCTTGGGGCAGTGAACAGTGTGAATTTTGAATGATGGCCTGGTTGTTAAGGGATTAGCTTGTCAAAGCTGTTTGCCTAGGTACTACGGGGAGGTGGGGTAGCCTTGTGGTTAAAGTGTTCGCTCGTCACACTGAAGAGCAGGGTTCTATTCCCTACATGGGTACTAGGTGTGACGTCCATTTCTAGAGTCTTTGGCCATGATAGCGCAGGAATATTGCTAAACATGGCGTAAAACAATCCTCACTAGCAGCTAGGATTACCTGGGTGTGCTAAGCTTATTTCCTAGGTTTCCATCCCCATACATATCTCTTAAAGATGTTTCTAATGCACATTTCAGACTGCTAGACTAACATGTAGTCTCTAGATTTATTTTATAAAAAAACAGTTGTATAATGATCTTAACATATAATACCCGCCGTGATATTGCTGGAATATTGCTAAGAGCGGCGTAAAACCATACTCACTAACATATAATAAAAAGGAGTCCAGAGACTTCCAGATACTGCAGTCATCTTGACTTGCTGACTATTATAGACTTGCAAGGGATGTATTTGATATGTTTTTAGCGTCTGTATAACTAACAGCTAGCTTGAATTGCATATTTACTTGAGGATCGTGACTTTTGAAACAAATGCAGGTATTCCAGTCATAACGCAGATCTATGCTTTGTTGTTTAACGCCGCACTCGGCAATATGACGGTTGTTGCGCAGGGCTATAGGGATGAGAAACAAATTACTACGGTCAAAGGGAGATAATCCTACACATTCTGTACGGAACGACAGCTTAGTGGCAAGCATTTTGTTTGACAATAATTTGAAGGAGCTGCTTGGGACCAGTTATCGAAAATATTTTATAAAGTGTTTGCAATCATAATTCATGATATCGGACAATATACATGTATCATACATACATGGAAGTATATACCTAGATTGCCGAAAATCAAACATTCACTAAGGGCCGACAGCCTAGAGGTGAGAAGGAGCCGGGTTCGATTCCCAACAAGGATGTAGACATACACACCCATGCTCATACATATCGTCGCCCCTTACATAGATGCGTGTTCGTGTTGGGGTGAATATGACTGAGGGGTATATAAAGGAATATGTCCAGTCTTTTGATGCCCGTCCTGATACTGATGCTACTCTTGTTCTTGGGTAGTGAGCGTTTTCACACGCCTAAATTTAAGTCAATTAAGTTACAAAGTATACTGGGCCGTAAAAGAAACGCGATTTCATGAAAATGCTTTTCACCTTTTGACCGTTAAATTTGGAAACAGAACAATGTCAATTAGGAGACCCCCCCCAAAAAAAAAAACAAAAAAAAAAAAAGAAAGAAAAGAAAAGAAAAAACACACACAAAAACAACAAAACAAAAAACCCATCCATTTTAGAATGGGAAACTTTCATGAAGTGACGTTTCTTTTGCGGTTCAGTATATATACTGAGGGGGGCGCCTCTTGCAACAAGCATGGGTCCCTGAAGACCAACTTAACCCGCACATTCGCGTGTGTCAGAATATGACTACCCTGGATCACTTCGGGCTTTCCTCCCACATTAGGCTGACACGCCGCGATATAACGGGAATACTGTTAAAAGCGGCGTTAAAACCAACTCACTCACCCACTAGATCCAGGCGTGTCCGGATCAGACAGAAATCGTTCTTTCCAACGAAAAGGTACTTTCGGTTTGGGTTTACCCAGAATCGTATGTTCGCCGCCATCTTGAGCTCTGCTTTCAAAGAGTCCCTGTTGGTTACGTTAACTATTCTTCATTTTCGCTGTCCTGTGCGTCTGTTACGCGGTGTATTTCCTGCATGGATATATATGTACGACAGAAGGATACGAGTGCGGAACATTTTGTGAGCATTTCCTGAGTACAGGGCGATAACTCGTGGTTCAATAATGACTGGATGTGATATGTGAGAGCTTCGGGAGAACTATTCTACACAGTAGCGATCCCTTGAATAAGGTAGGAGACGTCGGACATGTTTCATAATATGCCACTAGTTTGAGATAATGTTGGCATCAGGAGATTCAGCTTGAAGTTATTTGTTGTTGTAACGTCTCTTTAAATCTTAACACCAAACAAATTTAGCTGCGAAATCGTTTGCCTAGAGCCGCGATGGGGTCCCGGGCGTCCAGTCATGATGCACGAAATAGTATATTTAGATCTATTTACTCAGTCGCTCAACTTTAGATGTCTTAAAATTCGTGGGTCGCTAATTTAAGATTATTAGTGGAGATGATGAAAACAGATTAGTACATTGCCGCGATTTCTCAGCTGTAACCAAATGATACAGTGTTGTTTTAGATAATTCATCATTTAAAAAATAATTTGTTTCCATGGAAACAGATTTAGATGAAAAAATGTGTTGGGTTAATTTCTGGACTAACCAAAAACGAATTCTGACTGAGTCTCTTTGTAGCTTTGCACAGGCTCATTCACTTAAATATTACATATATAGTTTGATTTTGTATCCATGAAAAGTTGCCAAAGGAACCCGAAAAGAGAAAATAAATCCCCCCAAAGGTCCTATGTTAAATCTGGCATATATATGTATAGCAGTATTTTGCAACTGGACATGTAATATATCTCCTAAACTTGAACCAACAGCTAGATTAAGAGCTTCCCTTAGGAAGTTACAGTGTCATTTGTATTGCTGGGGTGGTCGGGTAGCCAAGTGGTTAAAGTGGTCGCTCGTCACACCAAAGACCCGGGTTCGATTCCTGACATGGATACAATGTGTGAAGCCCATTTTTGGTGTCCCCCCCACTGTGATATTGCTGGAATATTGCCAAAACCATTCTCTCACTCACTCACTCATTTGTATTGCTAATTATATTGTGCCTGTTTTCATGGAAACCAAACTATTTATATAGAAAAAATAGACTTGTTACTGAGAGTTTTGAAGTTTAGCAGGATTTGACTAAACTTGGTGTTTGCATATGTGGTTGGGAACAAATCAGAGGTGACACAAATGTTATTACTTGTATCATGGGACACAAATGTTATTACTTGTATCATGGGACACACATGATATTACTTGTATCATGGGACACACATGATATTACTTGTATCATGGGACACAAATGTTATTACTTGTATCATGGGACACAAATGATATTACTTGTATCATGGGACACAAATGTTATTACTTGTATCATGGGACACACATGATATTACTTGTATCATGGGACACACATGATATTACTTGTATCATGGGACACAAATGTTATTACTTGTATCATGGGACACAAATGTTATTACTTGTATCATGGGACACACATGATATTACTTGTATCATGGGACACAAATGTTATTACTTGTATCATGGGACACACATGATATTACTTGTATCATGGGACACAAATGTTATTACTTGTATCATGGGACACAAATGTTATTACTTGTATCATGGGACACAAATGTTATTACTTGTATCATGGGACACAAATGTTATTACTTGTATCATGGGACACACATGATATTACTTGTATCATGGGACACAAATGTTATTACTTGTATCATGGGACACAAATGTTATTACTTGTATCATGGGACACAAATGATATTACTTGTATCATGGGACACAAATGATATTACTTGTATCTTGGGACACAAATGTTATTACTTGTATCTTGGGACACAAATGTTATTACTTGTATCTTGGGACACAAATGTTATTACTTGTATCATGGGACACAAATGTTATTACTTGTATCATGGGACACAAATGTTATTACTTGTATCATGGGACACAAATGTTATTACTTGTATCATGGGACACACATGATATTACTTGTATCATGGGACACAAATGTTATTACTTGTATCATGGGACACAAATGTTATTACTTGTATCATGGGACACAAATGATATTACTTGTATCATGGGACACACATGATATTACTTGTATCATGGGACACAAATGTTATTACTTGTATCATGGGACACACATGATATTACTTGTATCATGGGACACAAATGTTATTACTTGTATCATGGGACACACATGATATTACTTGTATCATGGGACACAAATGATATTACTTGTATCATGGGACACAAATGATATTACTTGTATCATGGGACACAAATGTTATTACTTGTATCATGGGACACAAATGATATTACTTGTATCATGGGACACAAATGATATTACTTGTATCATGGGACACAAATGATATTACTTGTATCATGGGACACAAATGATATTACTTGTATCATGGGACACAAATGTTATTACTTGTATCTTGGGACACAAATGTTATTACTTGTATCATGGGACACAAAAAAGTTTGGCATTTTTATATGGTACAATTAATTTGTAAAATGCAAATATAAATTAATGACAAGAAATAGGTTGTTATAAAGGCAGGGTGTCGTTCTGTCCATCTGATTCTGTTGGGGCTTACTTCTTTTGAAGCCATAATTCTGATTAGGGTTTGGAAATGGTTTTAAAATCAAGATTGATAATTAGATCATTCCCACCTATTGATCATAAAAAACTAATCAGCTGGCATCATTTTACTGTTACAAATATTTTCGTTTTATTTTAGAATTAAAAAAAAGGCAGTGGCGTCACTGTTTCTCAGTTTTTGTCTTTGTAAATAGTAAGTAGAGAATAGGCCTTGTAAAACACTATTCATGGTTGAGAGGGAGTAAAATCGTTTGTGTTCCATTATGGAAAATTGTGTTCAATTGCCATTGCTGGGTTATATGGACCTTCTGATAAAATTTTGATTATTTCATCTTTGAATCACCACTAATACAGACTAGTGATATTTAAGTGTTGACTTCCAAGATTTGTTTGGCACTCACTGTAGTGGTAGAAGACATAAGTAGTTTGATCACATTTTCTGTGATCACAGTAGGTTAGAATGAAACCCCAGAGACTCCACCTCCATTTGGGGGGCACGGGTGGCCCAGTTGTCTAAGGCACCGCGATTTGATTTGCTACCCATGCTTGTGGGTTTAACTGAAGTGGTAAACATCTCAGACCTGCATCACTTCGGGCTTTCCTCCCACATTAAGCTGACATGCCGTGATATGTTAAAAGCGTTGTTATAACTCACTCACCACCTCCATTTTCATATAGATTAACTTTTGAGATCTTGTTTAACTGCAATTCTGCAATTCTGCAAAGAATATTATTAAAGTAATCTTTCAGTCTACCTTTTTATGAAGAAAACATTATTCCATATTTGTGAAATTTTGGGTTGGCAGACATGCAGAACATGTGATAACTATACACATTAGTGATTTTTGTTTCTCTTCATGTGCTCTTGTCAAAGGGAGATAACTATGGCAGAATCCCACCCATTGCAGCTATTCAAGCCAATTGTTTGTTTGTTGTTTAACGTGGCACTCGGCAATATTCCAGCTATATGACGGCGGTCTGTAAATAATCAAATCTGGACCAGACAATCCAGTGATTGACATCATGAGCATCGATCCACGCAATTGGGATTCGACCACATGCATCAACCAAGTCAGCGAGCCTGACCACCTGATCCCGTTATCCTCTTCTTACGACAAGCAAGTGTGGGTTGCTGAAGACCTATTCCATCCCCAAATTTCTGACCCCCAAAATGCCTACAATGTGTTAACTTCACCGCAGAAGCACACCGGACCCATCAAACCGTCGTTCCAACTTCAGAGTTACCTCCCTTCCCTGTGAAGTCTTAAAACTTGGATCGCAATCCGAAACAATCAAATCTTTCGGTAACAATGAGCATCATGAGCATCTTGTATAATCCAGTGTAGGGAGGTGTTGTATATATATATATATCACAGCTGGATGCTGGCAGGGACTCCACATCAGCTGTGTATTGTATGTTGTATCCACTCATGTGGTTTGAAGTACAGGGAGTCATCTTCACCTGCCGAGAGGCCAATATTCGGCCCAAAGTCTGCAGCAAATATAATGAAATATTCCCAAATTTAAATTTTTTTTTTTTTAATTCATCATCATTTGTTATGGGTTTGAATATGTGACTTGTACGAGGGGTGTTCATTAAAGATTTCCCCTAAACCACTTAGGGTTATCATATTTGGTTGAAATTTCACATGTGTAATGATACATGTATCTATGGGTTATGTCTGAATTTGCAGCACCGAACTATTAATCTTACCACTTTTACAGGTGTTATAATCGAGTAGGGTGTGACAATGGAGCCAGTAGAATACCGAGCAGTGATTAGGTTTTTATATTTGAAAGGTCGCACACCAAAAGAAACTTTTGATGAAATGAAAGCAACTTATGGGGAAGATGCCCCATCATATGACGTTGTTAAACACTGGCATCGCCAGTTCAAGTGTGGTCGGACATCTGTGGAAACAGCTGCCATTCCTGGTCGCCCCCATTCAGCCATTGATGAGGACACTATCCATCAAGTGGAGACCGCCATTTTGGCAGACCGACGTATAACTGTTGGCCAGTTAGCACAAGATGTCAAGATCAGTGTAGGGTCTGTGGAAAAAATCATCCATGACAATTTGAACATGCATAAGGTGTCTGCACGATGGATTCCCAGGTTGCTCACACCTTTCCAAAAGCAGGAACGAGTCAGTTGCTCAAAGGATCTTTTGGACATGTGCCAAAAAAAACAGGCAAACTTTTTTGACAGACTTATCACACAGGATGAAACATGGGTCCATCACTATGATCCTGAGACTAAAGTTCAGTCGATGCAATGGAAGCATGTGTAGTCACCACCCCCAAAGAAGGCACGTGTCCAACCCTCTGCAGGCAAGGTCATGCTCACGGTGTTTTGGGACAAGCACGGAGTAGTGATGATGGATTTCTTGGCAAAGGGTACCACAATTACAGGAGCTTATTATGCTTCACTGCTGCGGAAATTGCGGGACGCTATCAAGCTTAAGAGGCGTGGCATGCTGACCAAGGGTGTCCGTCTCCTTCAAGACAATGCTCCAGTACATAACTCTCATCTTGCCCAGATAGAAG